AAAGATCTTGACTTCTTCAGCTGTCAAGGCTATTACTTCAATACTGTACTGTCTAAGCTCACTAACTGGATTACAGTACAGTATATGGGAAGGACCCCTCACCGGATAAGCAGAATTCTTACAAGGGAAGTCCAGAAATGACTATACTTAAAAAAATTTGTAGCGCAACCAACATAATTTGAATTTCCACACACACTATAAATTAAAAATATAATTTAAGAGAAATTTCAGCTTACCTTGTTGTAGTTTGTCTTCATCCTGTTTGATACTGTTTATCTTGAAATGTGTACTGTAGTTCTTGAAAATTTTGGTAACCTAATCTCTGGTTATCTGGATTTCTGTCTGAATATGGCCAAGTTTTGCCAGAAAATTATCTGGACTTGACTTAGATTCTGTGCCAGTCTGCACTATGTGGCCAGATCTCCAGTTATTTGGATTTCTGTCCAGATATGGCAAACTATGGCAGAAAATTATCTGGACACAATTTTAACAGGATAACCCAAATATTAAGTTAGCGGAATTTAGATAAGCAAACACATATGTATTCATATTGCTTGTGTGAGAGTGAGGGCAGGCAATTACTTCAGTACTGTATTGTATTTTTGATATGTGTGTGTGGTGGACATTTACTTCATCATTGTATTAATGGTACGAGTACATGGGCTGCAAGTTACTTCAATATTGCATTGGTACAGATGAGTGTGAGTGTAAAAGTGAGCAAGACGCTGCTGCTGCTTCCGGGGTCGTGCCTGGCCAATCACTCCTCCGACCTTCCAAGCTGTTCACAAATGACAAGCACAAAATGGCTCTTCTTGTTCCATTTAGGTAAGTGATAATGCATCAAATTCATGTCCTGTTTTGTGATCAAGGAAAAACACATTGCAATTCAGAATTATTGAGGACTCTAAAATTACTGAAGTAATGGAAGAGGAGAAGGGGGGGGCTGTATTTATGGGTAATATTTGTACAGTGGTCAGAGTCATTATGAGAGCTGTAATAAAAAAGTGTAAACAATTCATCTTAAAGATCAGGGATAAAAGTCTCCTCTTATAATTCTTTTAATTTCAAAATATTTAGTAATACAGTACCCTAGTGTGTTTGGCATGAAACACTGGTTGTACACATCTTGCACAGACTCTGTTGAAATAGGTTTCTCCTGGCAATTCTTCATCTAGTAAACACTTGAAGAGATTGCATGTTACTTTTAGGCTGTGCCTATTCTTCATTGTACAGTCGTTATTGGCATCAAGTTGAGCGTATTCTTCCATGTTCAGCTATTCTAATGTGAGCCTTCATTCCTCAGGGATCGCTTTGAGGAGCTGTTAGAGTTTGCTCCTCATATTCACACATTCCTAAACGCTCAGCACAAAAATCATCATTTATACATCATTAATCAGGTAAGTAATTTTAAGTATTTTCCAAATTTATTATAACTACATATTACAATATTGTAATATAATTAAATCTGTAGCACCCAGTTCCACTTTTTGAAATTATGATGTAACTGACAATCAAGCTAAAGGATTGTTGCCATGATTGGAAAAATTAATGTCTGGTTTGTCTCTAGGTGGATAACCTTCGCTTCAATCGAGCTTCTCTTCTCAATGTGGGTTTTTTGGAATCTGGCATTGACTGTGATTATATTGCAATGCATGATGTTGATCTTTTGCCTATGAATGCAGCGTTGACTTATGACTTTCCTCACGATGGTCCATACCATGTTGCTGCCCCTCATCTTCACCCAAGATATCATTACCCAACATTTATTGGTGGCATACTTCTGGTGAAGAGGTGAGAGTTCTCAGATTGAATTTAAAATGCGTGGTCAACATATTGTACTGTATATCAATACTATAACTTAATTATTTTGTCTTTGTGCCTATAAGATTTATACCTGTATGCAAATTTATATCTAATTAGTTTTAGTTAAAATTTCTCTAGTTTTTGCAACCCATCCTCCAAAAATGATAGTACGTACTTACAGAAACTATTGGTCAAACTTATAAAAATGGACTGTTGTCACCAAAAAAACTTCATATTTTTTTACTATTTGAATACTGTACAGTACTCCAAATTGCATGCCAAAAACTGGAACATTAATTATACAACCTAATCTAACCTGACCTTTTTTTCAAGTTAATTATATTGAACAGAGTTATAGTAGTTATCCATAAATAAATGGTAACCTTTGTACTTCAGTGGTTCCATCAAACCCATAACTGTTTCAATCATTGTCTTCCCAATTCCTGCATACACCTCAAAATCATAGCTGTAACCACTTTTGGATTCAGCTAGCATGTACAGGTTCACTCCATACTTATCAGGTTTATTTGGATTATAAACCTTGAAAGCTAGCCGGCCCCTCCATGACATTGTATCTTCATCCACCCACAGTCAAAATGTATAATGTTTTTTATTTATTTTTGAGATATTCCATGAATGTTCTGACTTTGATTAGTCTGTCTTTAGGAATGGCATTATTGCTATAGGTATGAAAATATCTTGCAATTAATTCATATAATTTCACCGTCATAAAACTATTGAAACAAGGTACAGTACTTGCCACATTTAACCTGTTTGCCAGTACATTCTCATCGCTGGCAACTTCATAAGGCCCATCAACATTGTCAGTCCCAAGTATCTGGCAAGCTCTTTTACATTCAATTCATCCCATTTATTGCTTGGGGTGCTAGAACCATTGCAGTTGTTTTGTGATGCATTACAAATTTGTTTCATATACAAAATATTGCAACAAATCTTGTGTAATAAATAACTGTAAAAATCCAAGAGGAGTGATTGGTAATGGTACAGTCAAGCCTGGTGTTCCAGTAAAACTTTATAACAAATGGTGGAGTGTAGTGGTTTGACCAGGCTTGACCAGAACGTTGCCATTTCCTAGGTGCGGTACGGCCATGTGAGCCTGTGGCCGTATGAGCATCAAAATCATCACTCCCCCCTCACTTTCAATGTCATCCTAGCCTGCTGTTTCAATTTCAACAAATTCACTGCCACATGGCCCATAACAGATAACTTATCTGTTATGGGCCGTTGAGTGCAATGGGATGGCATTGGTGCAAAGTTTAAAACATGTCCCAAAATGATCAGAAAAAAAATGTAATTTTAACAAATTTATTAAATTTGGACGTTAGCTAAGTCCCTCCCGAACATCCGCAGAGTTAATTTCGGACGTCATATTGGTCCCTCCCGAATGAAAGTGTTAATATACAATACAGTGCATCTTCGCTAAATGCCAAAGTTATGTTCTTTGAAAACCTCTTGTTGAGGAAACTCATGTTGTGCAGTATTATGGCCAAGAGATAAAATATGGTCACATTCCTAAGATCTCGTATGTCCCCCCTTCTCACCACTTTTTTTTAAACTTTATTTAATGTAGTATCGAGTGGATGTTATTCAGATCCTAGCTCATTATCAATATCTGGGGTTTGGGTGTTATTTAAGAGTGACAGAAATTAGGCTTCTTGATTGTCAAGGTTTCACTAACTACAGTTTCAATGGTCATTACCGAAGAGTATCAATAGCTCGACTTTAGTGTTCAGTCAAAATTATCTCTGAAGTTTTAGTGGTGAGAGTAAAGAGTATGACTAGCTGGAGTGTTGGTAAAGAGTTAAGAGCACCTAAGGTTTGGTTATACAGTACAATATATAATATAGCACAGTACTGTACAATATTTACTTCACTTTGCTACTCAGGATAATTGTTGATTGCATTTAAGGAAATGTTGAAGTCAAGACAAAACCATTTTAATGGTTTTGTTTAAACTTTTAAGAAGTATTTAAATATTAAATAACTTGTATTCATTTTGTTGGCGACAGGAAGCCTGTGTGTATATGTACTTCAGGCTTTTACGATATTGAGGTCACCCCCAAGGTCGAACTGTTGACCCTTCCCCAGGATGCAAGCCCACAACAGTTGCTTAACTCCTGTGTACCTACAGTATTTACTACTAGGTGAACAGAGGCATTAGGTGAAAGGAAATTTGCCAAACCATTTCTGTACCACCCAGTAATTGAACCACGGATTAATTATTGTGAATCCTATCACATTTTCCAAGTGATAAGATATTTTCATCATCCAAGATCATTCAGTAACACCTTTATGATGAATATTTTACTTTTAACCTTACAAATCCCTAATACTTTCATGTCATGATTATTGTTGACCAATCATTGACCTTCACATCGAGCTAGTACCAATTATTGTCTAACCATGAATGTGGAATGACAGTGTGTTATGACAGTGTCTTGGTTGATTGCAAATACAAGTAGCATAACTACTGTAGTAATGAACATGCAGGTCATCCTTCCCTTAACAATAATGGTTAATAACTACATCTCTCATAGTGAACCTGAGAGAACATAGTCATTACCAGCCACTCCAGTGGCTGGTAATGACTATGATAACTTTGATGAACTCTTTAAGCAGTAATGGCAATGTGAAAACACGCAATAGATACCACTTGTATGGTTGCAAAGGAAGTGTTAACAGTGTTTATATGCTAAGGTAACATATATATATATATATATATATATAACTAATATTTTATATTATAATTTATTATAATTTATATATATATATTCAGTTGCATATTGTCCTGGGGACCATTCATGCTTGTTCGCATTTGTGTTCCTCACGTGTGCTCCAAAGAATGAGGTGATTTGATAAAATACTATGCCCAAGATTACCATCAGAGTGTCGGCGGAGGGGGGTTCAAATAGCTTCGGCCATCGCCTCCTTTTTGTCCGGTCGTGATGGTTGAGTGGATATGGTGTCCTGTTCATACCAGTTGCATTGTGCTCCTGGCAGTATGGGTTCGAGTCACTTCTAGAGTGTGAGTTTTCAGTTGCATATTGTCCTGGGGACCATTCAGGCTTGTTTGCATATATATATATATATATATATATATATATATATTACATTATTTATTGCCATTTATTATATATAAAAACTTGTCAGGCAGTTATGAATAAGCCTTCAAGTCCCATTTGAAGAGTTGATCGACAAAACTTGGCAGGTGTGCGTACCTGATGAGTCACGCAGAAAGATAAGCAATATTGGATAATTCAGGGATGGCTCAGTGTTTACCTATCAATGACTATGAGGAGTGAGATTAGCTCTTTATACCCTGCCTCTTAGCCGTTTATACCTGGTGTGCTAATTACCTCTCTCAACTTAAATATTTTCATCATATTTATTTTTAAAGTTATGGATGCAATTGACTTCAAAAACCTCTTCCTTCAATGCATTCCACTTCCTGACGACCAATACTGGGAACAAGAATTTCCATACATCTCTTTGCCTAATATTGAATTTTGTATTTTTAAGTGGCATATGCAATACTGAAAATATTGTCCTCTTGACTGACTGCTGTTGCTAGTGTTGTATATCTTTTGTAAAGATCAAACCAGCATGTGAAAGAAAGACACTAATTACTTACAGCTCCCATTTAGACTTGAAACCATTTTAATTACTTTTTATTTTCCATGTGATTAGTTTTTTAATCCAACTCTGTGCTGTAGTATTATAGTGCCATAAAATTATAATCTACAATAAAATAAATGATTTGGTGATTTTTATATAATTACTACCATTTGTATACATGTTTTGTGGACAAGCCAAAATGGCAGGTAATTTTGATGCGCATGCAACATTTGAGTACAATAAATTTGAATACTCCATAGTTAAATCATACACATTAGATTTTTGGTTACTGTACCTAAAGCAGATAAAAATAAGTGTTCCCCTATCTTCTGTTACTGACATTAATAATCCATTTTGAATATACAGTACAGGGCTTCTGGTGACACTCTTGACTCACTGGGAACAGGTACCCCTGTAAATCATCCTGGGCCCCCTCTGTGGACTGAGGAAGATTATTTGGATCACAGATCAACCTACTACTTGGGTGTTTTGCCCACAAAAATACAGAAAGAGAAGGCCAGTGCAACATCAGATGGCAATGCAAGCACAGACATAGTGAGGACTCCAGGAGAAGGAAGTCTGGTAAACCAGACTACCCTCAACCCCAGAAGTGATTGGACTAGCATCACATTTGACTGCAGAAATTGACTATAAAACTTCATTGAAAAAATCTCAATGAAAACCCTGACTAGCAGATTAAGTGTGACTGAGCCAGAAGTAACCATTTGCCAAAATTGGCCAACCTGAAAAATCAGTAGTAGATGTCAGTGTTAGTCTGGCTGGCATAACTTCCCACCATATACTTTGTACCATACTAAACTGAGTGTAAAACTTTGTAAAGTGCAAGATTGAGGAGAATGTAAAGATTATTTGATGATATAATGAATGTTCAATGATGGCAGAATAAGTGAATTTGACAAGACAAAAACCAAGGTGATGGGACAAACAAGTGAGCGAAGAAGTGATAGAGTACTTGTATTATCAGAGCACAAGTAGTAGTGGGGGAGTAATTAATTACCCTAAGATGGCACCAAGCTGGGAAGACTGGCACCATCACTGTCATTGGATATTCAAGAGGCACTATATATTACTTAGGATGCCAATATGAGAACAAAATAACAAGGCTAGTGGTAGCAAAGGTATCTGATTCATCAAGAATTCTATACACACATTTGGAAAACTAGCCAATTGTCCTGAAAATTGGGACATTCTACAAGGAGGTGCATGACTAAATAGGACAATGCAGTACTGTAGTGGGGAATAAGTAGAGTGACATTGATTTAAAAAGTAATTGTAGTATATTTTTTATAAGGTAGATAATGGGAGAACTGTATGAAATGGTGGGGTACCACTATGGATGTTATGTAGCTAGTGGAAGATATTTTGAGTGAAGTGCAAGTATTTCCCACTTCCATTGCTTCCCTGCCTCGTGTAACTCAAATGAAGTAATTATGATACCCATTCTTATATGGTGTTATAATTAAATTTCTATAATATTTTTTGGTTAGTCTCAGAATTTAAGATTTGCAATTTCTCTCCAACTGTAGACTGGTCATTGTGTCATCTGAACACCCTGTATTGTATAGGTTTAAGTAGTTGTGGTACATACTGTAATTAGATCTTAAAATATTATATTTTACAATAACTTTAAAGGATTATAGAAATACATTATGTATCTGAACATTTATTTTAAATCTTAAAATGATAGAGCAGATATATAAACCCTATCCAATAATGTCTAGATAATAAATACGAAGTCATGATTTGCACTAAATCATGTACAATAAATACAATCTGCTGGATAAAAAAAATGTATAGTTAAAAACATGAAATAATCCTAATATACAAGACTAGATTTTTTTCGTTTTCAGACTGTAAAACCTAAGCTGAGATACTGAAGACAACTCTGATGCTCAGCATGAACTCTCATGCCTGTAATGGCAAATACTACTCGCTCGCATTCTTTTATTCAAACACTTGATTTTCTTGGTATATGTTCCAAGCTTTTTTATATTTTTTATATTTTATATGTAATGTGAGTTTCTAATGAAACATTAACCAAAAGAAGCAAGCCTTTGATAAGGGCTTATCGTCTTGGCAATTGTGTACCCAATACTTTGGATAGCAAGACAATTCTAGTGGCACAAGAACGAACTTTTATTTGCTATGAACTAAAAACTAGGATGAAATCATAATTTTTGTCTTTGTACTACAACAAATCTAAGTTTGTGTCATAAATAGGATTTGAAGTTTATTGGCATAAATCATGAATATATATATGTACAGATATACATATATCTATATATATGCATAACGACTATTTGATGGAGAAAAACTGAGCCAAATTTAAGAGGCAGCAAATTGCCACATGGCATCACCACCTCTACTTCCTGAGTGCAAGAGGCCGAAAATTACTTGACACTACTATACTTCCGTTCTAATGCAACTGAATTCCACTTTTACTCTAGATTACAGAAATGCTGTATGTAAAGTCCAAACATAACATTACAGACATCAGATCCCTTACAAATCCCCTGAATGAGTAAAGGCATCATAAGTACAAGACCCTCGCTACACCAGGCCACTACTGGTAATCACACAATTCTGGCATTTCATTTTAAACATTTGGTCCTTACTGCAGTTACACCTAAAACACTGGCAACATTTGCAATGACTTTAAATTCACAGGATAAGAGTTGGAGTGATGCAGAGGATTGGGCAGAAATGAGTAATTTACCGACATGATAAACTATCCCCTGACCACCTCTGACATTGTGCACCAATTATATTGTGATTAGCAATTTTTTTTTAACTGTGGTTGCTACATGAACATTATGAGCTGCTGGAATGGTCTCTAAACTTTATATAATACCTAAAGGCTATGACAACTAGAGTTATTATCCACCACTAATGGACAACTACAAGTCAATTAAAACATACTCTAGTTTGTAGTTTATTAAGTTGGCTCCCCAAAGTGCCAGTCACTAGCTGTAAATCTAAAGACTTCAAGTTGTGGGTGATAAGTGTGGGTGTTGTGCAGTGACCTGGGAAAACTATGCTTCCTAAGACCCTGACTCGAGCAACGGTTCCCTCGTCACATCACAATGTTTACACTGAAGGAGACGCATCACATAACTTGTCAGAAACGATGAAAGGCTCCTGATAAGGCAATGTAGTATTTTCTCCTTGCATACACACGATACAAGAAAACTAGCATCTAAAAATTTTTAATTACTAGTGTTGATTAAACCCTAGTTAAGGCAAAGGTACACATTAACTGTACTAATACTGCACTATCTGAACTGCCCCAAACTGCTCATCAAAAGCAGACGGTCAACTGAGAGAAGGGATGGGCCTTCTCAATCTTCAGGTCTTCTCTAAAATTTTGTTTGAACATAAAAGTTCTGCATTCTGTTATATGTAGGAATTAAATCTGAATATGAAGATGCCACATCTCTGAACAACACACTCTTGTGGTCATTAACGCAAGAAACAATATTAAAACAAATAGTTCCGACTTTAGTTCTCACAACCTTCAGTGTACTAGCTTTAATGTTTTATTTTATGTGTAATCAATTAAAAATAAATTTTATTTTGGAAGTCCATGGGATTTAAAGGTTATAAACCCCTTTAATAGTAAACTGATTAAATGTTGCAAAGAAAATGTGTAATATGCAACATTTGTCCCATTCCACGTGACCAACCTGTAAACACACCACACTCATCACTAATGCATGCAGACTCGATACACACGACCCTGATTTTGATTATACATATTTAAATAACATTTACAGACTAAGAACCACTTCTTCTGTGCGCATTCTTTTTGCAGTGCTCACTTTCTCTCTGTCTCCTACTCCCTGCAGATCTTCCTCTCTGCAGTGACATCTTTTTGAAGACTTCAAAGTGACATCCTCAGTACTATTATACAATATATTTGCGCTATGCACGTTTCTGATACAGGTAATGTCTTTTTCTGTAGCTTCTCTTCTTTGTACCTCTTCACTAAGCTTAATTTCCAAGTCATTGAGGAAGAGTCTGGTCAGCTTATGCGAGTGGAAACTGGTGTGGAGAGACTGACCAAGAGATGCAAGATTAGTAGCATCTTCCTGTGGAGTGGCATGACATGGATCTTGTTCTTGCCTCAAACACCCACACTCTTTCCTGCTTGATGCTGCACTGGCCTCTGTCATGTCCATACTGAAGCTACCCAAGCCCTCAACCGGGGCAGTATTGTAGAGTCCAACTCCTTTTGGCGGCTGTCATACTTGGCAAGCACTAGGAACCTTTTTAACCTCTTGCCGTTGCCATTGACATTGGTGACAAGGTTTGCAGTCTGCCTCAGTTTTATCGGCCTGAAGAGCAGCTTCCCACTCTACCAGCTGTCCCATGAAGTTGAGGTTTGGGGAGATAATCAGACGTCGAGACTTAACGTACTTGTACGAGTCTACCATTGTCATGCGGGTGTGCTTCATCAGGTAGGCGATCACTATAGTGGGTGAGCGTGACACCCCCGCCTGACAATGGACCAACACTCTAGCGCCGGCTTGTCGAGCCTCATCTGGAAAGTAAACAAATACAATTAATGAAAGTTGTCAATATGTCTTACAATTAGCAGAATTGTGTAAGGTAACTTAATAATTCATGAGCAAAGCAATGTTTAGTGTGGATTACTGTAAACAATTAATATACTTGATTAAATACACAAATACCTAAACACATATGCTGTATGTGAATGTATTACACACACACGCACTGATACTGGAAATACGCACCACACATACTGTATTCGCTACCTACTGCCGTGTTAATATGAGCATAGAGGTTTCTGTACCTTGTAAAATTGCTGGGGGCACCGTTCAGACCAACTGCCCAAAGACAAAAGCAATAATTGTTTGCAAATCTTTTGTTTGGGTTGCTAGTCATGAGCCCCCTATTGTTTAGGCCCAGGGCTAGAGCCCCACACTGGGGGGGGGGGGACTGCTCGCCCTTCCTCTCCCAGCTGAATTTAAAAAATTACAGCAATAGTACATGTAAAACGCTGCATTATGTATGCGCATGATAATTATTTTAGATCCAAGTGAAAATTAACATACGAAAAAAATGCACCCGTGTGGTAACTAAGTAAACAATGGTTATTTACAGGATAGAAATCCACTACCTTTTACTCCTACAAGGTAGGAGTACAAGGTAGTAGAGTACAGCAGCAGCGTCCTATGCTGCTGTACATTAGCCTAATGTTCCTTAAACACACTGCTCACACAACCCCTCCCGGCCTCGCCCTCAGCATGTTTTATGACTCAGAAAAAGAGGGGGAAGAGACAAAATTCTTTTGAAAGCTCCACAACGCACTATAGCACAGTTGTTTGCTATTTGAGCCTGGTAAAATTATTGCTTCCAGATCATGTGTCATTTAAGTTATTGATAAATTAGGTAACTTATTATCTTAGTCATTTTACTCACAAACAATAGTAGGGAAAAAACAGCCAATGACGAGATGTCTAACTAATTATACTATGGGAAACCATATCGATCGTTCTTCACAGTTCTGATATGGATAGTTTTTAGTTCTTTATGCCATGAAAATAGAGAGAACCAAAGCAGAATGGAATTATAAACCATTACTCCAAATGCGTGAATAAGAAGTGGTGACGCGGGATGCACTTGTGGTTCCAGGGCTCGGATGTTGCCGGCAACAGTAAGCGGAAGACCGCCATCCATTCTCAACTTGATTGAGAATTGTCACTGTCACCATCCATTCTCATTGTCACATGTATGAATGAAAAAAAAAAGTTGCTGAACGAAATACCGAGTAACAGTGGCTCATCTACTTAACAAGGTATTTGATCAGCTTTGTTAACAGAAGTATCCAACGAAGCCTATATCTACAGCAGCATGCTCAGACGTTTTCTTTTATAAGGGTATGACTTAATGGTGGTAGGGTAGCTGCGTATGGCTACATGAACGTACAGTATATAACGCGTAAGGCAGCGTGTACATGACAGGTGGGAGGGCGGGACATCATCAGTCATAGCCACCGGGTGTCTGGGATTATTGTGACTCATACACTTAGTCAGCCCTCACACTATGCTGCTGCTCCTCTCCCCCTCCAGTACGCACCAAACTTTACCAATCTACATCATACGGCCACTGAAGATGCTAATCAAGAGACAAGGGAAGTATAAAATCAAATACAGTTAACGGAGGCAAGAGCGATGAAAGGGTCGTAATAAGTACAGTAAACATGGCGGGCGGGGCAGCAGCAGGTGGTGATGGTGGCAAGGACTGTCTCACGCTTCATTGTCAACCCCAACACCACCTATATCAGTCACGCTACACAGATTTACACCATATATTATCACCAGTCTATTCTAGACAAAAATGTTGGGCAAAGGTGCGGCTCGTGTAAAGCTTGAGGAAATAGCTTTCTCAACGATGACGGCCTCCCAGATTATAGACGTTGTGCCAGCCTAACCGTGTTGGCTGCTGACAAAAATTAGCAATTACACCTTGGGAAAATCTTCTGACATATGCAAAATGTTCTTCTCGCTCAGCCCCCGCCTCCTCCACACACCCCATCTGCAAACTTGGCGTCTAAACCCCCTCACCCACTGCCAAAGAGCCCTGACCGCCTCCCCTCAATCGACGTTGACTAGTAAGCTCCAAACAATGAACGGATCAGCTAGGTCAGGATTATGAATGACCACAGCCACTCCTCCCAACCTCCCCATCCCATTATATATATCTATTTCACAGGCATTTTCATTCACGTTGCCGCACACTCTACGTTTAGTTTTTTTTTTTTTTTTTTTTTTTTACTGACTAAACACTAAACATTGGCTAAAGATAGGCAGCCTTTAGAAAATGAATTTTTGTACAATTCCAGATAGAAGAATGCTCACATATAGTCAGTTATAATTTTAGTTCAGCTAATTCTGAAGTCCATTATATGCAGAGCTCAATTATGTATTATCCAACCAACGTTCCATTCACACTACATGAGAAGTCTGCAAAAACGTAAAAGGTTGATGGTTGATTGATGAAGATTAAGCCACCCAAGAGGTGGCACGGGCATGAATAGCCCATAATGCGGGCCACTCCAGGCAACAGCCTGTTGGACCAAGCTCTCAAGTCAAGCCTAGCCCCTGGCCGGGCTTGGGAAGTAGAACTACGAGAACCCCATCCAGGTATAGATACTTTAACCATGGGATTAAATTGAGCTGACACGCCACACGGTTGACTTGAAGTGGTTAACGAAAGGTAGAAGAGGAAGGTTGAACAGACTAGAGCTGTGATGTGGGCGACTTTCCAGCTGTCTCAACTCTATCGTGAAAGGACCCGCCCCTTCATGAGTCATCTCCGGACTACCTGTTGGGCGTCCTCGTCACGCGCCTCCGCACATTTAACGCCTTAACTCCCCATATGATTTGTTACTCTTAAATACTCCATACACAGCATCACGACAAGGTATTTTCTCGCCACAAATAACTAAACACTGACGTGCAAATACTGTACATGTTAAATCATATACTGGATGGTGTTCTAGTTCTTCTACTCCCTAAGCCCGGCCCGAGGCCAGACTTGACTTGAGAGCTTGGTCCACCAGGCTGTTGCTTGGAACGGCCCGCAGGCCCACATATCTACTACAGCCCGGTTGGTCCGGCACTTCTTGAAGAAAACTATCTAGTTTTTTATTGAAGATGTCCACGTTTGTTCCTGCAATATTTCTTATACTTGCTGGGATATGGAGTTTAGAATGAGCTGGTGATGGGAGGTAAAGCGAGCCACATTATAATGGAAGGGTCACAGTACCAGGAAACACCAGCCACTCAGCAACACCGTCAACTGTGTCATGTAGCGACTAGCTACCGTGCACTGAACTATGCTTGATAGAACCTGCGCGCTTTGTTCCCACCACTACAACCTTCCCTCACCACCTTCACCACACCGCTTATTACACCAGCAGGATACACCACACATGCAACACGCAGGCCAGAGTACCAGGATAGGTTAAGGCACCTCAAATATCATAATCCAAGAGGAATGAAGGAACAAAGAGGATATTATCACTATATAATATTATTATATATATATATTATATATATAATATATAAATATAGGGGAAATGTACAAGGTGGCCAAAGACAGCCTCTTTTAGAGAGAGAACAGACGTCAATTGGGTAAAGCTGGATACGTAAATTGGAAATGTAAAGAAATAAGCGCCACCTGTACGGGTGTTCAACAAAAAGAATGATCAACAAAATGAACACAAATAACGGGTATTCAAAAACTAATTAAGGAAGTCACCTCCATCCACAACTTAAGGCCGGAAACAACAAAACCCTAGAGTCAAGATGAAATATAACTAATCAGGTACAGCATGGCTAGTAAGCAGGACAAAACAGTAGACCCCCATTTTTTTTAATCAGCGTTAGGTAAGCCAGCTGAGCAAGCTATGAGAGTGCTGGTAAAGCTTGCATGTGTTGTCTTCCAGTAAAGTGGCGTCGATGTATTAATTAAGAGCAGGTGGGTGTGCTGGGACCTAATGGTAGTGATATAACAGGCGCCAACCACACACGCTGTTGCTTATCTAATCAAGGGATGTATCTTTTGAGTCACTGCAGAACCTCACATGAGTGGACGTCTACCTCCGCTAGCCACGCCAGCTTATCTGTTCCATGACTCGTCGTAACCACTTCTAGCAGATATAAATCATCCATATCCAGATGGTGTCCTAGTTATTCTAGAATTAAAGGTCAATCTACGAAAGCTGAACTACAACACTTTCCCCACGCAACACAAGTACTGACGGTGACCTGGCGGACGGGCCCTGGGAAGAGGATGGCTCAAAACGTATCCAGATATTCCGAGGACAACTAGACAGCATTCCAGGAAAGGTATGAGGGACGGGTGAAGAATGGTAGAGAAACGGTGAAGATGATGGGGTGAATGAGATAGACGGGATGGGGGGGGGGGAGAAGGGGAGCAGGATTCTCTAGCGGTGGCCAGAACAGTTGTGCCAGCTGTGTTCTTCCAGTGGCGTCGCTCCACACTCGCCCTGCATCACCAGCGGGGAAGGGGGGCTGGGTGAGTGCTCTTGTGGACAGTGACTGCCAACGAAAAGGTTGTGCAGCGCGGGGGATGGATGAGGTGGATGTTATCCAGACGGAAAGTGCGCCACGCAGCTCACTACACAACGAATGATACACTACGATAACAATGCGTTGTGAAATCAGTTAATTAAACTATCGTACTGAAGCATCGCAACATAGGGTATTCAAGTTTTAAAACAATTTGAACATTTGAAACTATGGTATCGCGGCTCTTAAATTTAGCTAGTAATGTTTTAATACATTACCCGGTGATACACGCTACTGTATTGTGACGGAGCTCGGTGATACACGCTACTGTATTGTGACGGAGCTCAGATCATCCCTCGACACTGTCCACGCGGCCCGTCCTATCCACATGTTACAACGTCAACAAAAGTGATGTACTAAATTGTTCGAACCCAATCTAATCAATGGACCCATGAAGTAGAAAACGGCCTGTCAATTTAGC